AAAGTTTCCTTGAACCTAGGGGCTAAGGATACCCCCCCCCACACACACACAAATAAACATATTTAATGCATTTCAGGGTGACACTGGCTTTTAGATTAATTTTGGGCATTAATCACTGCATATCAACATGGCAAAAAAATAAAGAAAACAAGAACACTAAACAGGAACCTTAGTGATTCCTCTTAAAAATTTAGGTGCCGTAAAAAAGCATTTATAAAGATCTTTTCCCTTCTCATGAGAGGGATTGGATTAAACTATCTGATCCTGACAGGAAATTCCCTATCCTATGAATTTGTTGATAGTGATAATTATTCCTTTCATATAGAGTAGTATTTTAAGCCATTATAACCTTGACTTTTTTCAGAGTGTGTTCATAGATTAAAGAATCTATAAATAAAAAAAAAAAATTCTTAGTTTACCTTAACAAACTCAGGCACTGCAGGACAGTTCAGTTCTTGAGCTGAGAAAAAACAGGCATCCTTTGAAGCAGTTTCAGATTCTGTTGTATCACTTTGTGGATCCTTTATAGGATATGAACAGGGTTCTCTCATCATCATCTCACTAGATGCTGAGCCTTTCACCTGGTATCCGTGAAATTCAACTACCTTTGTACATTTAATGGAATAAATATTGTAAAGCAATTATGTTCATTGACAAAAAAAAAAGGGCACAAAGAAAAATAAAATTTGCAAGGACTTATCACAGTTGTTCATTTATTAAGCATGACAGCAAACTGCCCTTATGGTTTAGAATTTGAGGGTTTTAAATTTAAGTTTCGAAACTTAAATTTAAGTTTTGAAGTTTTTGTTTTAAATTGAAATTTGATTCAGAAACAGAATTCTATCAAAAATATGGTATTATAATCTTACATCACACCTGCAGTGTTTTAATTCAGAAAATTACAACTGCAGAAATACATCAAAAATGTAAGAGTCCTTACATTTCAATTGAGAATTCAGACCCTAAAAAAGTGTTATAGGAAAAATTTTAAAATCCAAATTTTACACATGCTTACTGAGTCCTGTACCTTTTAAATTACTACCTCAAAATCATTTTTAACATGCAAATTCCTTATTTCCAATACAATATCCTATAATATGCGATATGTATTTAAACAAAAACACTTTAACAAGATGGCTTTTATTTCATTTTAGCTGACAATTATGGCATTTTTAAAAATAAAATCTTAAAATTAATAGATTCCATTTATTCATTTCTGTATGTGGGGCCTTGCCCCCATTCCCCCCCACAACCAGTTATTATCTAGCTTAGGAGAAGCTTCACAGCAGTGTAAAGCCAATGCTTAGTAATAATTTCTTATTGTAAACCTATATGTAAATCTACAGGCAAAAAAGTTAATATTTAATGTTTAGGATTTCCAGAAGCTAAGCATTTAGAACTTGTATGTCCACGATACCTTGTCATCCCAAAGTTAACTTATTATTTTTAATTGCTAGAACCAGAATACAGTATATCCAAGCACTGTTGCCAACATGTGGGAGTTTATCTGTCTTTTATTCCTACATAGCTCTTTTCTCTCCGTCAACAGCAACATTTCAATGTTTTTAAAATTTTGAAAAATTTAAGCACAAATTATTAAAACTTCAGAATGTGGGTATATTTTGCCTATCTTTACTAATCCTTATACCTTTTAAAGAACTGAGACACTGAACTGCAGTGTACTTAAAAGATTATTAATGATTTATATGTCCTTGCAGTATTAATTTGCTCAATTGCAAAAATTATCAGTTCATATTTATGCTAACCCTTACATTCATTGGTGACCACTCAGCAACGATGACCTTACCCTATTTCGCCTGAAGTACAGGCTAACATCTATCAGGACCCCAAAAGCGCACCTCTGTCAGTATCTGCCCTCTGGAATGAGGCCCCTCCCACCCCGAGATCTGGGGGCTCCCACCCTACTGGTGTTTCAGAGGGTCCAGGTTTTGGCTAGGGTGGTTGAAGCTCCTTCTCAATAGTGTTGCCCAGTTTTGCCATGTTTTTGCTCCTAGTCTTATTATTTTTTTCTTTGAAACACCCAGAGTATCTGGCAGTGTGCACTTTCAATAAATAATACTAATGAAATAGTATTAACACGGGGCTCAAGTCAATACTTCTTATGTAGGAGACTGAAGATTTTCTCATCAACAAAACCTTGCTCTGGAGAATCCTCAGACAATGGAGTGAGTTTTAGGACTCCAGAGGCCTGCAAGCAGGATCAGGAATAGTTAGTAGGAAAAAAAATGCAGATAGGAAAAGTTCCCTTAAAATGTACTATGGAACACACAGATTAAAGCCATTATTATTATTAATATCATCATCATCATCATCATTATTATACAACATCCAAAGAAGATTACCAAATTTGGAGAGTCAGAATGCAGGCAAGGTATCTGCACATCTTCAGGACAAAATGCTTCAGCAAAATTTTGTTTAACTACCAAAGAAATAAAACCACAATGAACTTCAGTCACCAGGCTAATTTAATATGTGTATTTCTGTTGTGGGTTAATGCTTTTGCATATATGAATCTGTTAAATATAAATTCATTTTGGTAGAATTAGTCATAATAACAACAAATGAAATCAAATTACTAAATTCAAAGCTGTAGAAGTAAGAATTGCTAGAGCTAAACATTCTGAGAAACAGAAGAAATCAAAGAATCTTTTAAACAGTGAAATATTTGAAAAATCAAAAATCAAATATTAACAACTGCTTACACAATAAAAAACCAAACATTCTAAGAATCACTTATACACAGTATTAACAATCTCATCATACCAAGAGCAACTCATTTTGAGTAAATTTTAAAAAGCACTGGGTTGGATATAAATTTGGCCTTGTAGACTGAGGACTTCCCTTTCTCTTTCCCACCTTGGCCTCTCATGTTCTGGAGATCCTGATTAAGATTATGGCATAAGACAATTCCCCTCCTCCTTTAAAAATATTCATCTTCCATGAGTAGAGATTAGGGGGCCTGCTATAGAGAAGTGGAAGCCAGGAAGTCCACTTTCACCAGTCTAGTGATAAGCACCTAAATTGAGGTTCACCTCAGTTCTTCCACATAGCAAAGTAAAGCTTAGTGTCAAAATCCATTGGTATTTTTGATAGTAGATGAGCCTTTGAGAGTATCTAAAATAACCTGCATAAATTGAGACTTAGATCTTACGACAAATTATAAGAACTTTTCGTATATACTGAATTTATGTTAAGGATCAGAGTTATATGCCTTTCTTAGTGATCACCACTTTCAGAGAAAATCTGAGAAAAAAGAATAATTTTATTTCACTTTGTGCACTGTTTTTCAGATGAGACAGGGAGAAATAGTTTTATAATAGAAACCAAAAACAGAACTTAGTTTGAGAATGTTTCATTTGTTTCTTATAAGAAATGTTTTGATAAGTAAGGCAACATTTAGCTGAGAGGTAACACAAACTGAAATCTCTTTATCTTCACTGGATTTGTTTTAAAAAATCCAAAATACATTCTGCATTTTCTAATTTTATTTATTTATACTATTTTTAAGGAGTAACTAACTTGAAATTAATTTTTTGATGTTTGTCTGAAATACACTGGGGAAAAACATCAGAACTTTTATTTTTTACTGCAAATTAAGTATTTTATTACCATAACAATTACCTATTTCAACCTCCATATTATAAATAAAAATATATTATTATTTTACAAACATTATTTTTATTTGCAAATAATACAAAGCAGCAAAAATATATGGAATGTTAGTTTTCCTACCCCAGTTTAGTTAAGTCTAATACTCACTGTCATGCATTTCACAGTCCACATGACTCTCCATTAACAAGCTTCTGCCAGCACAAAACAATTGCTGGTGAACATTCATATTCTGAGCCTGAATTATATTTGTATCTATCTTCTCATTAATTGAAACTTCTGAATTTTGCCATTTTCCCTCCCAAAGGGCTATACTATTTTCCTTAATTTTGACAGGCTTTGCAGAAATGTCATTGCAAAGATGCAGTGGCTGAGATCCTGAGATCCTGTTCAAATCATGATCTTGTAGAAGCATTAACTGTATATTGTTTTGCCTTTCACTACTGCATGCACTTGCATCACAGTTTTTTTGAGCACCGACCTCAAGTTGGTCTTTAATTTCCTTCTTTAGACATGCAGAACTTTGTAAAACAATGCTATTTATGTTGGGCTCATTATCTTCTGTGTCACTAAAATCCAGCATATTTAAAAGATTAAAGTTAACCTCTGTAAATTGTTTTCCTGGATTGCCAAACTCAGCATCTGCAGATCTGTTTGAAAAATGTTCAGAACACATAACTGAAGATTTGTTTTGCAACTGCAGGCAACTCCTTTCCAAATTATCAATTATTCCATATCTGCTTGATTCCGATGTGTCTTCAAATGTTTTAAACGCATTTCCACAGTTCAAATTAGCATTATCAAATGAACTTAATTCAGTGTTATTGCTTTCATTCATGAAGGATTCAGTTGGTAAAAAGTCATATGGCTGACTTTCAATAGAACTTTTACTAACTGAAGTATCAATTTTCCAGGAAGAAGGCATTTGTGGAATCCTTTCATGGTCATTGCATTGACTTCTGTTTACCCAGTCACTCTCATTTAAGCCCTTCTGAACCGGATGCAAATCACTAGTATCCTCTTTGTTGTGTTCTGTATTATGTACATCAGATAAACACGATGGCATATAAGCATCCCATCGGCTTTTTGTTTGCAGAGTTTTTTCTGAAAGGTGCTGTGGGTACATGTGTTTAGTAGTTTCTCCACTAGTATTGTTTGTGAAGGTAGACAAAGGTGCTATCTTATTTTTTAGCAAAGAGTCCCTCTTTACTAATGGCTCAACTAAAGGCAGAACTTCTGAGTTGGATTCTGATTGCATTAGTGTAAACTGTAGATTTTTCAGTGAGGCAGTAGTTTCATTTTCTAGTCCCTTGGAAATGTTTTGGTCATGGCTCAAAAGTGCTACAATTTCAGCTTTGCTTCGAAGGTTCTGAGAAACTGCATGGTATCCTGAGTTGACCAGTGCATTTTCTAACTGAAATTTTGGCTTCAAATATTCAACAGCTACGTTATCAGTACATTTTTTATTCTGTACTACTACATGTTCATCATCTAAAGAGGTGGAAGCCAGAAAACTAACAGGCTCAGCAACTTTACTATTCTTTGTAGAAGTATCTCCATTAAAATTTGGGAGTAAGATGGTATCTTCCTTTTTTTTGCAAGGAACAGAAAATAAAGGAGAAGACACATAGAATTGGCGAGGGATGAATGAGAGAGGACCTTCAGATGTAGATGGCAGTGCAGGTTCTTCTACTATCTTTTTCTTTTCCACCTGACGTGGTACTTGGAAACCCTAGAAAAACATTTTGTATATGTGGCAAGTATTAGTTATGCACATATTTACTTGTAATATCTTTATTCTACAATAAAGCTGTGCAAAGAATTTGAAGAAGTATTTTACAAAGCAACCCTCAACAAAGCATTGAGGCAACAGTGTCCTCTAGAAGGCCCAACATGGCAACTTCAAGGGAGTTTCTCTGAATATTCGAAGATAATATAGAAAAACCTGTATAGTGGCAACAGTGAATTTTAGGACAGAGGAAAACTCTGTCTCAATGCTTTAAGAGGTAGTGCTTTGGTCATGCCAATGCATTTTACAAAGGACCTTCAAATATTTTGCATATTTGTCACTGAATAACACAACCTAACGGTGGTTTTTTTCCTTTTAAAAACTGAATGCAATTATCTCATGTATATTTCTGTAAAGTGCAACTCATGGAAGCTAGGAAGCATCTGTTTCAGCTATGCTTGAAGTCAAATTAACATGACTGGGAATGATATTACTAATATAAAAGCAGCAATGATATTGCGTCAATCAACATACATTTTTCATATGTAACTTATTCACATAGTGTCCATACAGCTTGTAGACCATACTGCAGTTTGCTTTTATTCACTTTGTTCTGCTGATCTAATAGCATGTATTACACCTGCTGCTGTTAGCACTCATAATAACTAAGGTTATTGCCAGTATGAAATACAGTGGCTGATCTGAACCACTTCACATCATAGTATACATAATACTGCAGATGGCGAGGGACAAAAATAACCAACAGTAGCATGTGCGCGTGCACATGGCTGATACAGGTAGTCCTTGACTTATGACCATTCATTCAGCAACCGTTTGAAGTTATGACAATGCTGAACGAATGGTGGTTACAACCGGTCCTCAGTGTTCTGGCCATCCCAGCACCCCTGTGGTCATGTGATTGCAATCTAGGTGCTTGACAACCAGCTCGCACTTATGACCAATTGCAGTGACCCACGATCACAAGATTGCCATTTGTGACCTTCCCTGCCAGTTTCCCCAGAAAGTCAATGGGGAAGCCAGCAGGGAAAGTTGCAAGTTGCTGGGATAAGTCTCCCCCACCCATGCACCCTCCCCGGCCCCTCTGCGCTTGTGCTGACTATTCACGCACTCCCGCACACCCTCCCTGAGCCTTGCTGCTCCCCTTGCCATTCGTGCATCCCATCCTCCCTGACCCTTGCCATGCCTCCCTCATACCCTCACACAATCCCCACCCAGCAGCAGCCACTTACCTGCCTGTTTGCTGGCCTATTTGCGAGTTGTCTGGAACTTACAACTTCTTGCCGGCTTCCCCACTGACTTGGTTGAGGGAAGTTGGCAGGAAGTTGCTTTGCCTAATGACTGTGGGATTCAGTTAACAGCAGCAACCAGGACTGCAGGGATTACTGTCGCTAAGTGATGTAGTCGCACTTTACAACCACATTGCTTAGCGATAGAAATTCTGATCCCAATTACTGTTGTAAGTTGAGGACTACCTATAATGACAAACATCAAATTTGCTACTGAATTCATGAATTAGAATTTACTTAAGTGTAGGGCTTTACAGTGATTGAGATCCAAAGG